CCATAAGCACTCGACTTTGTCATCACAATTGTTGAGCTCTGTACAATCAAAACACTCCCTAACATACAGAGCCACCCCACCGCATCTCCTTCCTTGCCTATCCCTTCTGAAGAGCTTATAGCCATCCATTGCAGCACTCCAGTCATGCGAGTCATTCCACCATGTTTCTGTGATGGCGACTAAGTCATAGCTGTCCTGCTGCACAATGGCTTCCAGCTCCTCCTGTTTGGTGCCCATGCTGTGTGCATTGGTGTAGATGCACTTGAGCTGGGCTACCGGTTTCGCCCTCAAGTCTGGCATGCCACTCCTAGGCTCGTCTCCAGTGAGCCTGGTTTTGCCCTTTTCCTCCTCTGAATCTAGTTTAAAGCCCTCTCGATGAGGCCCGCCAACTCATAAGCAAGAATCCTTTTCTCCCTTGGGGATATTTGCACTCCATCTGCTGCCAGCAGGCCTGGTGTTGTGTAAACCACCTCATGGTCAAAATCCCCAAAATTCTGCCGATGGCACCAGCCTCTGAGCCATGTGTTAACCAGGTGTGTTTCCTGTTCCTTTCGGTGTTCTTCCCTGTCACTGAAGGGATTGACGAAAACACTACCTGTGCTCCTGCTCCATTGATCAGTCGCCCCAGCGCTCTGAAGTCCCTTTTAATTGCTGTTAGACTTCTTCGTGCAGCCTTGTCGCTGACAACCTGCATAACCAACAGTGGGTAGTAGTCGGTGTGCTGTACCAGACCAGGGAGTTTCCTGGTGACATCTCTCACCCGGGCCCCAGGGAGGCAGCAGACTTCCCTGTGGGTTGGGTCTGGTTGGCATACTGGGCCCTCTGTTCCCCTCAGAAGGGAATCGCCTACGACAATTACCCTCCTTTTTTTCTTAACAGAGGTAGTCGTAATGCATGGGGCTGACTGACTCACCCTAGGCAACCCCATGGATGGGGTTTTGCAGCAGAATTTTGTAGTGAGCTGTCAAGGCTAAAACAGGAAGAGAGCTTCTCGTATGCTTAATAATTTCATAGATCAGAATACTTAAATGTCAGTTTATTCTCACCGTTAATATTTTGATTTTTTGTTTGTGTTAGAGTGCTTTCAGTAACACTAAAAGAAAAAAATTCCAGGTCAGGAATAAAAATTTCACAGATAAGAATACTGATTCTTAATACACTTAATACTCTTAATACATAAGAGTATAGAGAAGGGTTGTTATTTGTCACTGGTGTTTGTTTTTGATTAATAGCCATTAAACTAAGAGATGCTAAGGGCAAACCCAATGGTTTGTTTCTGTTCTCTTATTCATTACCTACTTCGATGATAAACCCTTTAAATACAGGAATATTTTCTTGATACTTTTTTTAGCCTTTTAGTATTGTACTTAGGGCAAATAAGTATAATGTTGAATTGATGTAATAAGGAAACTTTTACCAGAAAGCTTTTTGGAGCATTCTGAGCCGATGTTGAAATAATTTTAACAATCTTAACTTGTTCCAAACAAGTCCCTGAATTTGCTAGTAGTCACTTGTTTCTAAATAGAGACTACAGCTTTCATGAACCTGAAAATAAATGTTCAAGAAAGAAGGTAGTGCCTTAGATTTAGCATTATAAGAACTGCCTTTTCACATGTGTTTTCTGAAACTTTTGTAATGCTCTTTGGGGGGAAAAGACACTTGCTCTAAGTGTTAATGCTGTTGAGAATACCTTAAGGTGTATTTTAAGTAAATGGTGCATCTCCAATGATGTGCAACATACGGTCTGTTTATAATCTTCAGAATTCATGTTAGATATTACTATTTTGTCACTTAATTGCAGAAAGGAGATACTCCTCTTCATATTGCCATTCGTGGAAGAAGCCGTAAACTTGCTGAGTTACTGTTAAGAAATCCAAAAGATGGTAGATTGCTTTATAGACCCAACAAAACAGGAGAAACACCTTATAATATTGATTGTAGCCACCAGAAAAGTATTTTAACACAGATATTTGGAGCCAGTAAGTATAAGTATATATTTTTCTCAGATCTAAACTTAGTCTGATGAAAACTGAGCTTTTTTTAATAACATGAATGATTAATTGAATAAACTATATTGTTTTTTAATTACTTGTATATTGAGAATCCAGTGTATTCAATTCTGTACTGAAAAGTGGTAACTGTTTAGGTTTTTTAATGTTGTGACTAATGGGAAAGCTTTAAAAAGAAAAGTTGGCAAAAAATTTATCATTCTGAAATACTAGCAAAGGTCAAACATACCTTTTAGTTTTGGCCTTTACCCTTTGACATTGGATACTGTGCAACTTCTGTTGACTGTTTTTACTTAGATCTTGCTTATTGTAGGAATTATTTTCTTTGACTTGCTGTGATTTTGGATTTTGAGTCTTTTATGGTAAGCTGTAGCAGTTTTGATAATTACTTAATATTTCTGTGGATGATTTACCTTTGAACGAGAATGTACCAATAATAACAACTATTAAATGGGAGGAATAAGTGTACAAATACAGCTGAACCTTCATGATTTTATGTATGAAAATTGTCATATTCAAAAGATTTCTTAAAGCAGTTCTGTAACATGAATACTGTGTTACAGGACACTTGTCTCCTACGGAATCTGATGGTGACATGCTGGGTTACGACCTGTACAGCAGTGCTTTGGCTGATATTCTGAGCGAACCAACCATGCAGCCACCTATCTGTGTAGGCTTATATGCACAATGGGGAAGTGGAAAATCTTTCCTGCTCAAGAAACTGGAAGGTAATATTTGATTTAGCCTTTTCTCAAGGTTCAAATCCACCTATGAACAGCATCACATGGGAATTACTAGTTTTTGCGACATCCGTTAGTCCGTATAGTTTATCCAGTCTCTGTTTCTGTAATGAGAGGATTTAAACTTTTGCATGATCAGTTCATCCGTAGGTTGCTTTGTTCATTTATACAATGTCAAGACAATCTTTTTAAGTGTTGCTGTCTATTGTCCTGTGGGTTTCCTGCAGCAGTGAATCTGCTGTTTAGCTACTGCTGAAAATATGGCTGCTGAAATATGCCTTGCTGGGGGTGTTTGTGTGTCAAATCAGGTTCAGCCCTCTTTTGCTGCAGTATAATTGTGCCTCTTAAATGTCATCTTTTTTTTTTCTTTCTTCTTTTTTAAAGTGTAAGAACAGATTCTAGGCTATTAGGGTTTTTTTTTTGTCTGTAGTGCATTTTCCCTGTGCCTAGTTTTCTTCCCCTTTCCCCTTATTTACTTTGAGCTTTTTTAACTTTCTTAAATGACATAGGAAAGCAAATGCAGTATGTGAAGAGACTCCATATTTTTCACAGTGGAAACAGGCATCTTATTTACAGTTTTAGCTTTTTCTAACAAAGGATGTTTTCTGAGATGTTTCAGTATAATTCAAAATACTTTTACCTATCTTGATGTTTCTTACTTTCTGTGATTTCTTTCTTTCTGTGATTTCTATGTTTTTAAAAGCTGTACTAGTCAGAATGGAGTCTCTGCATTCCCTGTGTTCACCTTATGCCTCATGTCATAAACAAAAAGAGGTGTGCAGTTTTGACTGTGATATTTATTGTTGGTGAACTGTTATGTTTTTAAAATACTTTTCCAGTAATGTTTGAAGAGTTCAATCTTCGTTGTCTTTTTTGGATCGATAATAGGGAAAAGTTATACAGTCAAGTGAAAAAGTGTTTCTTTTCAAAGATGAGGATCATTATAATACCTTTTTTGCTTTCTGTTCTAGAATAATTTAACATGTTAACTGGCCTTTGTCTTTTCTTCTAGATGAAATGAAGACTTTTGCAGGACAGCAGATTGAACCTCTGTTTCAGTTCTCCTGGCTTATTGTATTCCTCACACTTTTGCTGTGCGGAGGTTTGGGTTTATTGCTTGCTTTCACAGTGGATGCAAAGCTTGGAATAGCGGTGTCACTCAGCTTATTAGCAGTTCTCTACATTTTCTTTAGTAAGTCGTCTTATATTTGAAGTTTGTGAAGGTTTTTATCTGGTTTTGGAATTCAGTATTGTTTTGTAGACATGCTTTGTGATTCAGAAAAAAATACTAAATGTTTTTATAGAAAATAGGACCTCTTTGGACCCTTTCCTTCTGTTTTTCATGTAATTTGTGATAGGGAGTTCTTGAAAACAAAGAAGAATTTTGTATATTAACTTCATTATGCTACTCTTGCCATTCTCATTTTTAGCCATAACTGTTAAAAATTCTCATTCGCCTCCATGCCTCACCTGTTCAAACTTCATGGTTCTTTCAGTTGTGAGAATTGACTAAAATATAGCTATAACATCTATTTTAATTTTTAATTTTTTAGCTGTAATTTACTTTGGTGGTCGAAGAGAAGGTGAGAGCTGGAACTGGGCCTGGGTGTTAAGTGCAAGGTTGGCAAGACATATTGGATATTTAGAGTTACTTCTCAAACTCATGTTTGTGAACCCACCAGAATTACCAGAGCAAACCACTAAAGCTTTACCTGTCAGGTTAGTTATTTCATTTATTTACTCCTGAATGAATAACTCAGGTTCACTCTGATACTTTTCAAACTGTACGTATTAATGTGCATGTTTATCTCCGTATGAAAAGATGTTGAGTTTCTTGTTTGAAAAACGGTAGCCCTAGAAGATCATGGAGTTAAATTTTTCAGTGTGAAGAAGATGATAGTGTTTTCAAGAAAAGCTCTGTGCCACAGTCGGTGAAAGTTACTGCTTTTTAGTATTAGGGATTTTGACTATCATAGTAATAAAAATTTGTAAGACAAAATAAGAATTTAGTTTTCTGGTATAGCTTACTGTGTGTTACGTTTAATGCTTGTTTCACTCATTACTTCTGTTAAGGTTGTTTTGGGGGGTTTTTGGTTGTCTTGTTCTCTCCCTGCCCCCTGTAAGTAGAGCATCAGACTGCTCAAAGCTTGTAGTTTACCAGAAAGCAAGAAAGTTTATGCCATGTGTATTGTAGTTTCTTTACCCCTATTGTTGAGAGACTTGTATTTTAGCCTCATGGTGCTTTTATGTGACCTTATTCTTCTGTATTTTTTTTTTAAATATTTAAAAATAGCTCAAACTGCAATTTTTAAAATACTCGTCAATACTGTGTTTCCTCAATGCAATTTTAGAAATACTAATCAATATTATGTTTTGGCATCATAAAGATATTTTTCTGTTTTTACTGCCATCTGAGGTGTGATTAGTGATATGATTGTTTTTATCTTTTTAAGAAATCAAGTTTTAGAATAGGAATTGGGGCAAAGAAGAGGTTGATAACAAGAGAAGAAATAAATACTTAAATTCCATGTAGAGTTTAAAAAAAAAAAAGAAGTATTTAAGTATTTTACATTTTGTGCTACTTGAAGAAACTTTCAGCTGCAGAGATGCAGGACGATTTTTGTTTTGGTTGCCAAAAAATATTTAAAGCTTTCTAAAGTATACAAAATACATGTGTTTTCTTTCAGATTTTTGTTTACGGACTACAATAGACTGTCCAGTGTAGGTGGAGAAACTTCATTGGCTGAGATGATTGCTACCCTCTCTGATGCTTGTGAAAGGGAATTTGGTTTCTTAGCAACAAGGCTATTTCGAGTTTTCAAGACAGAAGATACACAAGGTTTTTATTACCTGAATGACATTTCTGATTATTCCATTTCAATGCACCGTTATCAGGAGTTCTGTTTTTCACATTATAAGCTCTTTTTAGAAACTGTTGTAGCCATGCAGAAATACACGCAGAAGAGGAAACTCTTTGTTTTGGAGAGAAAAATTACCTGTTTTCTTTGCTCATAAAGGAATATCTTCTGTGAAGTACAGTTTTCAGGAGTGTCAATGGAAACGTGTATTTATATTACATCCTTTTAGATGCAGCATGATATTTTTCCATAGCAATTAAGTAATCGTGTCCAAGTTGGATAAAGGGAAAAGTATGCTTTTGTGTATTGCTAAGAGAGGTTTATGTTTAGTCTCTTAGATGTTTATTCAGAGCTTTTGTGAATGACCACTACTTAATCTTGGAAATAATACATGTGTAGAACATGTTGGTCCAAAGCCATAAATTGCTGTGATCGGTGCTGGTAAGATGGGATGAAATATTCCTCCTTGATCCAAATGGAACAAACTTTTTTCTTCTGTTCCATCCGTAGATTTGTGAAAAAAACACACAGAACTGAGTATGATACTGTGAAGAAAGGGAGTTCTTGAGGGTAAATTTCAATTCATAGAGGACTTATTTCTATTTTGAGTTCAGTTTCAGTCAGTTACTTCTCATTTCATTTTGACCTTGACCACAAGTTGAGAAATCTGTTAGATGCTGTCTCCTCTCACAAAGTGAGATGTTTAGACTCCTGTCTTGCAGAGGGTGGAAAAAAACCTGCTATGTGCTGAACACAACTTACTCTTCATTGTTATTTCTCAGATTCACTGAATGTTCTTTATAAAAGTGATAGGTGAAGTTTTTCACCTTTATTTCCATATTAGACATTCTGCAGTTCTCCTTAACCTCAATGAAACAGCTTTCATGATGCTGTGATTTCTCCCAAAATTGACTTGAGAATGGCAGTGTAGTGGTGGCTTCTTGTGATTATTTGCACTAATCAAGCTTTCCCCTTAATTTGTAATCTTACATTTCTCTTGTATTCCTTGGCTCTGTTGCCTTCCTGTGCTTTTCCTAATTCTCTTATTTATTTATTTAATCTATTTGATGGTCTTGCACATCTTCTTCCTGTCTCCAGATGTTCATAGGTCTAGGGTCGTATGTTTCTTGTGTCTAGATGTTGGTAGAAATACCATATAGGTTTCTTTTTAGTCTCCTGTATCTTTCATTTTTGTTGTCTGTAAACTCATAGGCAAACCTATTCAATTGCCATTTCATTGTTGATGATTCCTAAGTCTCTCCCGAATCCAGTTCTGTTTTTTTCTAGCTAGAGGAAGCTTATGTCCCTACTTCAAATGTCTAGAACTGAGTGTAATTATAATTGAACTGTTATTCTTCTCTTCTTGCCCCTCAATCCTGTCATTATGCATTTCTGTTGCTTTATTCTGCATCATAATCCTATTTGTCACATATGTCAGTAATGTGAAAGACCTTTCCAGCTCATAGCCTAGTCTAGGATATGATACACGGGCTGTGTATAAACCTTGGATTTTCTTTCCACGTAGCATTTTTAAAATTTGATTTTTGCATTCCAGTTCAAATATTAATTTTTAGCTATAATAATTTTGCATCAGATTATTCCTATGTTCTGTTCTTTGTTATCAACAACTGTGTACAGAAGATGTGAATATTTTACATGTGTACACCACTAGATGTATACAGATCCTAAAGGCAGAGGCTGCTACTTAGGAAAAAATATGTTTCTTTGATATAATACTACTATTGCTTTAGCTGTGCTAACCTGTAACCACAATATTTCCTAGTCTCTATCAATTCAACTGAAGTCAGGAGGTCTGTATTCTCTTCTGAGGCCCTTGTGATCTCTCTAAACTGTACATACTACAGTCCTCCCTTGTTTGTCTGTGCTTTAGCATGCAAGAAAGGAGAGTCTCAGATTGTAGCTTGCAATTTTTATTTAGTTCTCCAATGGCACTATTAGATTATGTAAGTACCATGTTTCTGTTTAAAACCGAGTAGTTACCATACTGTTTTCCTAGGTTTTACTTGCATAAATACATTTTACTGAGAGATGTCACAGGAGGGATGATACCACTGATACGAAATCTGTTTAATAAAGATCATTTCCATCCACTGTGGATTTCTTGAAACAATTGAAATAAACTGAGGATTAAAGGAATATTTCAGCATCATAATGTCCAAGAATTTTGGCAAATTTAGATGATTTTTTTCACACGTTTGTGACTGGATGGTAACACTGCAGTAACCTTTTGAGCAAGTTAGTGTTTTATGAGAAGTATGCAAGTTAATAGATTTTGTACTCACCTCATTTTACATTTATTTTAAGAGCAAATACTTGTTTCCTAGGTAAAAAGAAATGGAAGAAAACTTGCTGTCTCCCATCCTTTGTGATTTTCTTGTTCATATTGTCTTGCGTTGTTTCTGCAATTGCCCTGCTGGCGATTTTTAATGTAGAATCGGCCAACGTGACAGTGAACGTTATTCTTATATCAGTTACCTGTGTTGTTGGTTTGGCCTTTATCTTGAATTGCCGCACGTGGTGGCAAGTGATGGATTCGGTTTTGAATTCGCAAAGAAAACGTCTGCACAATGCTGCTTCCAAGCTTCACAAGTTGAAAAGCGAGGGGTTCATGAAGGTAAGCATTTATATGAATTTGCCAATAAAAGAATTGAAACAAAACCCCAAACCCATAGCCTTCATAAGACGGGGTGCCATTTATTTAATCAGGCCAAGTCTCACAACATTAGAATGAGCCTTGGTGCGTTTTTGCTGAAGGAAACGCTTCTGTTCCAGTGGTGATTTTGCTTAGTGTACAAGATCTGTCTGCTCAACCAGGAATGTTAAATTTGGATTAAGTTTTCAGTTTCTAATTTTATTTTTGCTGGGAGGAAGGTACTAGGAAAACAAGCTTTTACTAAATACTGATCATTTAGAACAATTATTTTAGATCATTTTTGATGATTGTACATTTTAGGACTTTCACTTTAGGTATTTATAAGTGTTTATTTTTGTAATCTTATTGGAGTATTTTTGGTACAAGTATCAATCTGCAAAAGGAATTATATGCATTCTGTGAGTTTTAAGTATTATAGAGACGTCTTTTTCCTTCTTTGCTTTTCATTTTTATAGGTTTTGAAATGTGAAGTGGAACTGATGGCCAAAATGGCAAAAACCATTGATAGCTTCACGCAGCACCAGACAAGGCTTGTTGTAATTATTGATGGGTTGGATGCTTGTGAACAAGACAAAGTTTTACAGATGCTTGATACTGTGAGTTGGGTCATTTTATAAAGATGATATTTTCCATAGATGAGCTCAGATACTACAGTTATTACGCATTTTCTGTAGAAAGAAGGCATGTATACAGAATCTGTGTGTTGTAGTCTTTCTAAAATTTGCAGATAGGGGCATAACTGTAATACTAAGAACAATGGGTTTTAAAAGTTGAAAATTAAATCCCAGTAGGACTCTACATGTTAATACTTGTGAAAAGTTTTGAAATAATCAGATGTAAATTATTGAAAATTAATATCCTGTTGAAACAAACGTACAATGTTTGGAGAGTTTTTCATACTTACTTCTGAAGTACTTTAGATTAAAAGTACTTAAATGCTAAATATTTGGGGGGCCTAGGACATTACTGTATGATACCTTCTTGGTGATGACTTCCACTGTAACTACTACTGCTAATTTGTCAAGGATGCTTATTTCTAATTGTGGATAAGTTCCTAACATTAGTTTTCTCATACCGAAGAAAATTATACCTCTATACGTCTCTTGTCCTCTCAAGTTTATCACTCTAACAGAATGAATATAAACTGTTGAGTCAGACATTCAAATGTTCCACAGTTACTATTATTATTAACAAGGTGTACTGTTTACTTTTTTACAGGTGCGAGTCTTGTTTTCAAAAGGCCCATTTATTGCTATTTTTGCAAGTGACCCACACATTATTATAAAGGCTATTAACCAGAATCTCAACAGTGTTCTACGTGATTCAAACATAAATGGACATGATTACATGCGAAACATAGTCCATTTGCCCGTTTTTCTGAATAGCCGAGGGCTTAGTAATGCAAAAAAACTGATGGTAGCTTCAACAACAAATGGGGATATTCCTTATGCAGATAATGCAGGTAAGTTTATGCAGGAGGATGATACAAAAGTTACAAAACCATTGTTCCAAAAATCTGTTTTTTGGAACAGATTATTTTAATAATTGGCAGATCATTAGTGCTGTTTTATAGATGAGTTAAATGTATATGAATAAGGAAAATGACTGCCTTTTGTTTTCCTTTCCATAGGATTGCATGAAGAGGTTGACAGGAGAGTTTCTCAGAACAGTCTTGGAGACATGACCAAGCTTGGTAGCAAAACTGCTCTCAATAGGCGGGTGAGAAAGATTTTTAGACTAAATACTGATAATACCTTTTTTTCCCTGTTATTTTCTTTTTTCTTTCACATTTTTAATGAAGTGAGCTTGGAAGACTTATCAAACCATTGTTATGAAATTAGTATAAGTGATCCAGGTAGAAAAAGCACATTCTTAAATCAGTGGACTGATGCTCTATCAAAGAGGAAAAAGTTTGCTTGCTCACGAAAGTGCTTCTTCTCACAAATACTTAAATTCCGGTCTCTGTGAATGCTGAGATGATACAGCATACTGGTAGTAGCGATGATCTATGTATATTTTGGATTTTTCTGTATAAGCTGGATATCATTTGCTCACAGGATGTTGCAACAAAGGACAGTAATTGTGTAAATCAAGGCATTTAGAATATTATAGTACTAGACTCTTACTGCAACATGTCCACCATACTTTCTTTACTGCTTTTTCTGTTCTGTTTTCCCATATTTATGTAAAATCAGGAAGTGGTTGAATAAAAGGTATCTAGGAAGTAGTGAAAAGCAACACAGAGTCTGAGGATTTTGAGGTTTTTGAGCTGCCGTAGGTAGAGGCCTGGGGAGTTTTGCAGCAGAGGAACCTGATGTTCACTTTAATTTTAAAATATAATTAGTAAATGGATGGCATTAACTTTTTGTAGAGACAGTAGGAAATGATGATGGCAATGCTGAAATTAGTAACGTTTTTACAAAATATCTTACTGTGTCACTATTATGCCCTCTCAGAATTAGCGTGGAAGTAAAATGTGTAACTTCTACCAGTTCTTGGCTTTACAGAAATCATGTTCAACGGTTACACAGATAAATCAGAATTAAATTCTGGTAAATACGGTATTTCATGTCAACCTCACAGACATATATTCACAAAGATGCTAACTTTATAATCACATAAAACTGAAGTATTTCAAATACATAAAAGCTTTCTATATTAATCAGTATTCCTTGCCTTTTTGTGTCATTATCAGGATACTTACCGAAGACGACAGATGCAACGTACCATTACCCGCCAAATGTCTTTTGATTTGACCAAGCTGTTGGTTACAGAGGATTGGTTCAGTGATATCAGTCCTCAGACCATGAGAAGATTGCTAAATATTGTTTCAGTGACAGGTAAGTGTGACACGTTTGTGTACAGTAGCCAGTATTGTGTTTTGGTCGCTTGTAGTTACACTCAGACTTTTTACTGTGTGAACTAAATTTACCAGTCAGTCCATGTGTTGGTTTTGAAAATCCTTCTGAAGACAACTCTTCTAGAGTGCGGTTTTGAAAATCCTTCTGAAGACAACTCTTCTAGAGTGCAAGCAAAAAATATAAGACTATTATATGTAGAATTTTAAAAAATTAAATACTGTTTGTTTGTTGTTTCATTGACTTCCTTTGGGAGGCAAATGATTGTAGTCTACATTTTTAGGAAGCTTTTTATTTTTTAATTTTGAAGTGGGATATTAAAATACTTCATTCAATTTTATGATGCTTTAATGTGAACAAAGCTCATAGTGCTGGGATCTTAAAAGGTAAACTGTGAGGCAAAACCAGGTATGTATCCTTTACGTTTTTGCTATGGATATTTGGCGTCCTTTTTCCCTAAATGGTTGTCTGGGGCTGATGAAAGCATTTTAAGACCTGTTTTCCTTCAACAAAACGCGATCAACTCATTGGTATCTTTGAGGTTTAAAAACTAGAAACAACTGGAAAAGGACTTACAGAAGTCTAATAAAATCATGTTTCATGTAGTAAGTGAATGGGGAATGATAATATATATTCCCTTAAGCAGGGAGGAGTTGGTCTAGATGACCTCCAGAAGTCCCTTCCAACCTCAGTCGTTCTGTGATTCTGTGAAGCAAATAATATTAACAGTTTCTAGGACTTGTTCAATATCTTTATAGATGATCTG